CAGTCTGTATCCTACCCTCCTGGGGCAGTTTTTTTGAGCAAAGAACATGACCTGCCTTCAACTGTGCTAGTTTTGATGAATCAGAAGCAAGGGGACAGCTTTCTCCCTTATCCTATTCCCTCTACCCAGAATTATTTTCATTTGCTAAAACCTTACTCATCTAGGTATAATTCAGAAATCACCTCTTCTCTGAAATAAATTCTACGAAGTAGATTTAGTTATTCCTGCCTGTTCCTCACAATTCTTTATTCATAGCTATTGTGGTAACATGTATCACACCAGATCATAGTGATGACATGCGTGTCCGCTTCCTCCTGCGGAACCTCTGCATCCCTCTCACAGAGCTTGTTACAGGGTTGGCATGAAGTAGCTATTCAATGATTTTTTTTAAAAAATTAATTAAATAAGTGAGGGCACGGATAAGTCAACAGGTAAGAAAAACTAGACATTGTAACCATTCATATCCTTGAAGTAGATCCTGTCAGTGAGAGAGGAAATACTTAAGAGTGAGGAAGAAGTCAAAATAAAAAAGTGATTTTAAAATGTAGATAAAGGAGAAAAAGAATTGGCCTAAAATCCAACCAATACCAGTCATCTCAGGGAATGACACAAGTGAATGTAATCAGAAGCAGGCACATTAGCATACAAAGAGAAGGATTTCATTCCTGAATAGTCGAAGGTTTCTTGTTTTAGTACATAATTTTCTTAAATGCACTCTTTAAGACAGGAGGAAAGATGAGAAGGATATTTTTGATAAGAGAGAGGTCAGCCAGAGAAACAACCTCAGTGAGTACTGGTAGTTCAGGTATTCTCTCCAGAAAGGGTTTCAAACAGCACACCTTTTATTATCAGTCTGGTGAGGGTGGAAATGTTATAACTATCAAAAGGAAACAGACTTGGGGTACTTACCTCAGGCAAATAGTTTGCCAAGAGTTTTCAAAGATTTTCATATTTTCCTAATATGAGTTAAATATCCTGGTCCCCATTGTACAGTCAGGGAAATTGAAGATCAGAACTGAATGAGTTGCTGAGGTTGCACACTTTGTGGGGAGCTTTGATCAAACTAAGTATGGGGCTCCTCCTATTATTCCCTACAACCACCAGTTTTTGTGTTCAGAAACATTGTTACTCACCTATAGCATTACATTACAACGATTCCCACTTTAAGTCACTTTGGTTAGGCTATTTCACATTTACTAAATTGTAATTTGAGGATTCCTTTCATGTGAAGTTGGAGAATTTGGCTGTATTCCTTGGGCATCTCATGGAAACCACGTTTAGGCAAACTGTTGTCATAGTAGTGATGGCTGACAGGTGTGTCCTGCACAGTTTTAGAGAAGGGCCAAAATCCATACAGTTTCACGTTCTCACACAGCTCAATGGCCACACTCGCGATCATCAAGCCAGAGGACAGGCGGTACTCTGTCACGCCTTTAGTTCTCCAGAAGAGGGCAAGATTCCTCAGGTACTTGGGATGGAAATATATAACCTTTTGTCTTGCCTTAGACTCTTCCAGCGTGCTGTACACTTTAAAAGAGGCAAAGGTGTTGGCCCTGAAGGAAAACGCTGGCAGCAGAAGAAATGCATCTCCATAGGCTTCGATGTCCTCTAGAAATACTGCTTTCTTTTCGTTTAGGTTCCCATATCTGCCAAATGTAATAATGATAGTAATAATAGTAATATTAATCATCATCATCAAAGTAGTGGTTTTGGTAACACAGGCTAAGTTTACCTCTAGCCAAATAAATGGAACCATGCATATCACTGTACATAAAAAGACACACCATAGACTCAGAAAAAACTCATAGTAAGTATCTTGTAAATAGAAAGAGCTAGGCCTTAATTTCATTTTCTTGGTATTTCTAGGATTTAATTTCTTCTTTCTTACTGGGCCATCCCCTTACTGGACACACATTTCTTGTATTCTTTGATCTTCAATCTCAGTAATCTAAGGTTGCTTTTTGATTCTGAAACACTTTCCAAGTCTACAATGATGAAATGTTTTCTCAAACATAGGACATTCTTAAAATATCTATACATTTTAAAAAATTCATCAAGCTGTATTCTTGTGATTTGTGTATCTTTTGAACATCCTATATAATAAAAGGCTAATATGCAAATTGACCCTAACAGCAGAAAGACTGGGAATGACTGGTCACTATGACACACACTGACCACCAGGCAGATGCTCAATGCAGGAGAATGGAACCATGCATATCACTGTACATAAAAAGACACACCATAGACTCAGAAAAAACTCATAGTAAGTATCTTGTAAATAGAAAGAGCTAGGCCTTAATTTCTTTTTCTTGGTATTTCTAGGATTTAATTTCTACTTTCTCACTAGGCCATCCCCTAACTGGACACGTATTTCTTATATTCTTTGATTTTCAATCTCAGTAATCTAAGGTTGCTTTTTGATGCTGAAACACTTTCCAAGTCTATAATGATAAAATGTTTTCTCAAACATAGGACATTCTTAAAATATCTATACATTTAAAAAAATTCATCAAGCTGTACTCTTGTGATTTGTGTATCTTTTGAACATGTGATTATAAAAGAAAAGTTTCCTTTAGAAAACCTAAAAACAATATACATACACACATTTTTAAAATTTCCTCCACTGTAACTGCGATAGCTTTACATGTTTAATTTAAATAATTACACAATTTTGTGTATTTTGAAAGTAAGCTTTTGGGAGAAAGACACTGAAAGGTTCGGAGTGGACTGGGGTCGTGCACCTATGACATGAGGCCATAACGTATGGAAAGAACTTTTATTTCAGGCACCTGGGTACAGGTAGGCTGAGTCCGAAAAAGAAATCAGCAGAGACTGAAGGGAGAGGCAAGTTTTAATTTCTGCTGGCTGCAAACAGTTCTGGTGAAGTAAGGGTCTGGTCCTTCGTTCCTTCCATTGCCAGATGTTTAGTGGTTATCTGGGCTATGCAATGTTCAAGGTTGCAAGCTTCCTGCAAGATATCTGCTAAGCAAAATAAGTTTCCTCTGCCCCATTTCATTCTCTTTAACCCTTTCAGATACAACCTCTCTATATAAAAAGGCCTGCAGGGGAGGGCAGTTGGGGACAAACTGGCCTGCAGGGGAGGGCAATTTTGAAAGTAAGCTTTTGGGAGAAAGATACTGAAAGGTTCAGAGTGGACTGGGGTTGTTCAACTATGACATGAGGCCATAATGTACCAAAAGAACTTTTATTTCAGGCACCTGGGTATAGGTGGGCTGAGTCCAAAAAAGGAATCAGCAGAGACTGAAGGGAGAGGCAAGTTTTTATTAATTTCTGTTGGTTGCAAACAGTCCTGCTGATGTAATTGGGGCGACCAGGCCTGCAGAGGAGAGCCATTGGGGGCGACCAGGCCGGCAGGGAGGGCAGTTGGGGGCATTAAGCAGGCAGGCAGGTGAGTGGCTAGGTGCCAGTGGTCCTGGATTTCGAGAGGGATGTCCGACTGCCGGTTTAGGCCCAAGGGGTCCCGGATTGGAGAGGGTGCAGGCCGGGGCTGAGGGACACCCCCTTCCCTGTGCACTTCTGCTGGCTGCAAACAGTTCTCCCATTGCCAGATGTTTAGTGGTTATCTGGGCTATGCAGTGTTCAAGGCTGCAAGCTTTCTGCAAGATATCTGCTAAGCACAATAAGTTTCCTCTGCCCCATTTCATTCTCTTTAACCCTTTCAGATACAACCTCTCTATATAAAAAGGCCTGCAGGGGAGGGCAGTTGGGGACAAACTGGCCTGCAGGGGAGGGCAATTGGGGCGACCAGGCCTGCAGAGGAGAGCCATTGGGGGCGACCAGGCCGGCAGGGAGGGCAGTTGGGGGCATTAAGCAGGCAGGCAGGTGAGTGGCTAGGTGCCAGTGGTCCTGGATTTCGAGAGGGATGTCCGACTGCCGGTTTAGGCCCAAGGGGTCCCGGATTGGAGATAAAAACCTAGTGACCATTATGGCGGAACAACTAGAATGACCAGTTGCTATGATGCACACTGACCACCGGGGGCAGACGCTCAACGCAGGAGCTGCCCCTCTGGTGGTTAGTGTCCTCCACAGGGGCAGCGCTGCTCAGCCAGAAGCCATGTTCATGGCTGGCGAGCGCAGCAGCGGTGGCGGGAGCCCCTCCTGCCTCTGTGGCAGCACTAAGGAGCAGCAAGCCCGAGCAGTAAGGAGTAGGGAGCAGGCAGGAGGTAAGGAGCGTGGGGTTCCAGACTGCGAGAGGGAGCAGGCTGGGCTGAGGGACTCCCCACTCCTAGTGCATGAATTTTGTGCACTGGGCCTCTAGTATTTTATATTCTCTTAACAGACACCAGAACTATTTGAGGGGTGTATTCTATTAATAATTATTACTAGTCACTTTTGATTAAAATAATTATTACTAGTCACTGTATAGAATTTTTATTAACCAACCAACATTTCATGGTAATTACATGTGGAAAATGAAATATGGGAATAATTCTTGAGTATTATACTATCCAAAGTGAAAATGAAATTGAGCCAGGTCCTCCTAAGGCTTGCTATTTCAAGTTTCCAAATAGATTAGGTTTTATCAAGGAAGTACTACCAAGATAAAAGAGTAACACTAACATTCTGAAAGAAAACTGAAAGTGACCGTTATGGCAGAACAACTGGAATGACCAGTCGCTATGATGCACACTGACCACCAGGGGGCAGACGCTCAATGTAGAAGTTGCCCCCCTGGTGGTCAGTGTCCTTCCACAGGGGGAGCGCCGCTCAGCCAGAAGCCATGCTTATGGCTGGTGAGCGCAGCAGCGGTGGCAGGAGCCCCTCCTGCCTCTGCGGCAGCACTAAGGAGCAGCGAGCGCAATCAGTAAGGAGCAGTGAGCAGGCAGGCAGTAAGGAGGGAGGTTTTGTGTGTTCACTACCCCAAGTCAAGTCTCCGTCTATCACTATTTATCTGTCCTACACCATCCTCCACCTCCCCTTCCCATTACCACTTTTTTTTTTTTTTAGAAAATCATTGATGTTAAGATTCCTCGATTTCATCCAATTTGCATTTAAAACTATTTAATAAGTGCTGAACTCTTAATTGATTCAACATTGCATATAACATACAAATTTGATAAATGACTTCAACATTGATTAAGACCTTTATAAATAACAATACTAGAAATGACAATTAAATCTTGCCTAGTTTTTGAAGAGTTCACACTCTTCCGATTAAAATTATTTATATTGATTATATTCCCACAGTGGTATAATCACCAATTTACAGATTTTAAAACATTGAGAGGAATTCCAGACTGCAAGAGGGAGCAGGCCGGGCTGAGGGACTCCCCATTCCTAGTGCATGAATTTCATGCACTGAGCCTCTAGTATTTTATATTCTCTTAACAGACACCAGAACTATTTGAGGGGTGTATTCTATTAATAATTACTACTAGCCGCTTTTTATTAAAATAATACAGCAAAACTACTATATAGAATTTTTATTAACCAACCAACATTTCATGGTAATTACATGTGGAAAATGAAACATGGGAATTATTCTTTAGTATTATACTATCCAAGGTGAAAATCAAATTGAGCCAGGTCCTCCTAAGGCTTGCTATCTCAAGTTTCCAAATAGATTAGGTTTTATCAAGGAAGTACTACCAAGATAAAAGTAACATTAAAATTCTGAAAGAAAACTGAAAAAAGTAACTTCACTACTATAAAAAAAGATAAAGAAACAGTAAGTTTTCATTTGATGAGCAACATTCAGCTTATGACATTAGAAGTACAACTGGTCACAACTTCTTATGAGCCACAACCTTGATAGAAATTCAAAAATGACAAATGTATATTTCCCCCAAAAGCCATGCCAGCTGTATTACAAGTCAGTCTCAGCAATAAGATTGGTGCTCAGATTAAGAAACATGCTAACCAATGAACAAATGTTCTTGAACTGTGATGTAAGTTGGAGATACTTACTTTAGTCTTATGATACTGGGGTTTATGGTCACAAGGTTAGTTTTACTGCCAACATCTTTACTAACATTTCCTGTTGTTGGGGGAAGGTTACACCTGAAATTTTGAAGAAATTATTTTCAAAATACAACTTGAAAAAATAAAATACATACACACAAATACATTCATACATATGTGATTACTGTCATTTTTTTGAATTTATTGAATTTATTGAATTTATTGGGGTAACACTGGTTCATAAAATTACACAGGTTTCAGGTGTGCAATTCTACAACACATCATCTGTACATGGTTTTGTGTGTTCACCGCCCCAAGTCAAGTCTCCGTCTATCACCATTCATCTGTCCTACACCATCCTCCACCTCCCCTGCCCATTTCCAGTTTTTTTTTTTAGAAAATCATTGTTAAGATTCTTCAGAATTCATCCAATTTGCATTTAAAACTATTTAATAAGTACTGAACTCTTAGTTGATTCAACATTGCATATAACATACAAATTTGATAAGTGACTTCAACATAGATTAAGACCTTTATAAGTAACAATACTAGAAATGACAATTAAACCTTGCCTAGCTTTTGAAGAGTTCACACTCTTCTGATTAAAATTATTTGTATTGATTATATTCCCACACTGGTATAATCACCAATTTACAGATTTTAAAACATTGAGGAATTGTGGTGAAGGTTATAGAGTCTGCCAGAACAAAGATTACATTAAAAAAATTAAGCCCTGACTGGTTTTGCTCAGTGGATAGAGTGTTGGCCTGCGGACTGAGGTGTCCCAGGTTCGATTCCAGTCAAGGGCATGTATCTTGGTTGCGGGCATATCCCTAGTATATTTATCCTATATTTGCATAAAGTCAAATGGATGTTTAAGCATGATACCACAGATCTTTTGGGAATTTTAAGTTTATAAAAAGTCTTTTACAATAATTATTTATCTTCATGATGGCTTTTTTAGTAATGAGTACTTTAACCAAATGGCTAAGTCATTCAGATATTGTAAAATAAAATAAATTAAAATCTCCTGATTCCCATATGGATAGTTTTCCCAGCAAATTATGCTGTTAATAAATAAAATCCTAATGTTCTTATAATGATGTTCAGTACTCTTCTGAGTACTAATTTTTTTAAAATTGAAAAACAAATTAAAAATTGTAATTCTGAGTAATTCTATTCCTGTCACACACAAAAAGGGAAAGTTAGTTACGACTCCCTAAGTATCGTTTACAGAATTTCAAATAGACCAATTCTTTAAAACTATACATACAAAGGGAGCATCTCTAGGTATTTCCTTAAGGAAGGCTATTGAAAGTTTATGTGTTCTGAGGAATGAAGTTGAAAATCCTATTACATGCTCTATTAAACACACAAACAAATGAAACGTGCACTTCCCACCTTGATAAAAAGATTTATCTGAAAACAATTAAATATAGCACTTTGGAATAATACTAATCATAGATAAAACATCAGCAGTGACCTCATTAGTGGGGCTTCCTGTAACAAATCTACTTCCTAGGACAGTCTCATATTCTGTTGAAGAATAAAAGGTTATTTTCACATACAGTACTATCAAAGGAGATTTCTAGAGGAAATACTGGGTGTGATATATATATATATCACAGTTGGAAAGCCAGTCATCCCCTATCTTTGCTCCTTACATTCTTAACTTGTAGCTCCCAATCTTTTAAAATGAAAACAAAGTAATAATAAGCACTTGCCAGATTGTTTTATAAAATGTACATCCAAAATAAGAGCAGGCTTAAAAATTAAATAAATTTTAATGACACCAATCAAGTCTAGCTCTTATTTTTGCCTTTTGCTTTGAAAGGCAAACTTCAAAGGGAACTCTATATGCAGAAAGATGCCTGGCATCAGCAAATACGGGCTCTAGAAATACATGCATTTATTTTAAAGTTATAAATTAAGTAACTGCTGAGATTTTAAAAACTTAAAAACTAGACTAGTATTTCCTATATCTGCATAAAGTCAAATGGATGTTTAGGCATGATACCACAGATGTTTTGGGAATTTTAAGTTTATAAAAAGTCTTTTACAAGAATTATTTATCTTCATGATGGTTTTTTTAGTAAGGAGTACTTTAACCAAATGGCTAAGTCATTCAGATATTGGCTATTTTAACATTCATTATGAGGAACACACCCATTAACTGTTGAACTGCTGGGTCTGTTTTTCTGTTATGACCTTCAGCATAAAAATTTTAAATGAGATTAAAGTGAGGGAGGAACTATGGATCACATTTTTTTTTATTTGTTAAAAAGGGGCAGCATTGAATTGATAAGGATCAAAGGATCTCCTCTGAGGTATAAAATTAGTGTTCCTGGAAGAGGAAAACAGATTCCAATTTACTGTTTTTTAAGTGTATAACGCAATGATTTTATTTCTATTTATTTATTTATTTTATTAAAAAATTTTAATGTTTCCATAATTGCAGGTGTCACCCTTTTCCCTACCCTTTGCCCACCTCTGCTCACCCCCACCTCTCCCTCCCTTGGCCTTCACCAAACTTATCCATGGCCAGGGTGTCTTCCCATGCACCAAAATGTCGCTGGTTCGATTCCTGGTTAGGGCACACACCTGGGTTGTGGACTCGATCCCCAGTATGGGGTGTGCAGGAGGCAACCAATCTATGTTTCGCTCTCACATTGGTCTTTCTCTTTCTCTCCCACTCTGCCTTCCTTTCTTTCTAAAAATCAAGAAAAATATGTATATATTTTTAAAAGGTGTATTTCAACTGAAAAAAAAAAAGGTGCATTTTATCAGAAAGGAATGTATCACCTTTCCTTCATATTCTGGAAGTAGAGCTGTCCTGTAACATGGTTTATGAATACAGGCACACATGGAACGGTCTTTCTCTTTCTCTCTCCCATTCTCCCTTCCTTTCTTTCTAAAAATCAATAAAAATATGTGTGTATTTTTAAAAGGTGCATTTCAACTGAAAAAAGGTGCATTTCATCAGAAAGGAATGAATCACCTTTCCTTCATATTCTGGAAGTAGAGCTATCCTGTAACATGGTTTATGAATACAGGCACACATGGAAACCACTTTAGTTTCTATTTTTGCAAGCTAGCTGGTACTAAGATATAAAGATCTTAAAAGAGCATAATTTAGAAGCTGCACAAATTTTTTAAATTTCAAGTCAGGAAACTAAATAAACAATAGTATTGCATGGCTGTATGAACAGTGCCCAGTTCAGCATTTTGTCAAGTATTATCTGGGAACAAAACATCCTTGAAATGCTCTTTAAAAAAAATACACAAAAAGGTTTTCAAGGTCAGGTGAACCTGGGAAATGCTGCTCCATAGAGTCCTCTCAAGGAGCCATGAAAACCTTAATACACTGAAGGCTCTGACAAGTCCTGCAGTGCAGACCCTCTTTCACTATAATTTCACCCAGAGCTTCTGAAAAGTAAATTATCACAGAACATTTGTATCCTTCTAGTATCCACGTTCAGAAGAACTAATGATCCATTTAACACTACAGGAAAGCTTATCAAAATAATTTGTAGTCTGAGCCCTGACTGGTTATCTCAGTGGTTAGTGTCTACCCCCAGACCAAAGGATCACAGATTTGCTTCCTGGTCAAGGGCATGTACCTGGGTTGCAGGTTTGATCCCTGGCCCAGGTCGGGGTGTGTGTGGGAGGACACCAATCGACGTGTGTCTCTCACATCAATGTCTCTCTCTCTCTCTCTCTCTCTCTCTCTCTCTCTCTCTCTCTTTCTCCTTCCCTTCCACCCTCTCTAAAAATCAATAGGAAAAAAAAATATCCTCGGGGGAGGGCTAACAAAACAAACATTTTTAAAGAAAAAACTTCTCAAAAGAAATAATACTGATTAATAATGATAATTTGTAGACTTAAACAACACAGCTCAAAATTTACAGATTATCTTTACACAAATCCTGTAAAATATCCAACTGATCTTTGGTTCAAAAAACTCAGCTGAACAGGTCTTACCTAAAAACGAAGTCAGATTTATCTATTTCAGCTCCGCAGAGAGACTTATTCAGAATCCCGCCGTTTCCAACCACTGCACACTGATTGTAAGGGCGCTCCACAAAAGGCTGCGACTAGCAAAAGAAGTGAAAACTACCATGAAACAGTTTTACCTCTAAAACCATAAACATTATCAGCTTAATTCAAGTAGCTTAATTCTTATGCATACTATGTAAAGAAGAACAAGAAAAAGAGAAGTAGTGCTACCATAACATGTTGATCAACTTAAGACTTACAATAAAAAATCTCCTAAACCTGTTCTTTTTCTGGAGAGAAATATACAGCGTATCACATACAATGTAATGTAATAATACACAACGTATTTGTATACAAAAATACAATGCAGTTTACATCACATAATTCAATAAAATGAGAATAGCAAAATCTCACATTGTGCCTTACCAGCAGGAACATTTTCAGCAAAAAAAGAGAAAAAAAGCAGTTGGAAAGTAGTGTAAAATCCTCTATTCTGGGAAATAAAATTAACAGCTAATTTAGCAACATTTCCTGTGCTTCTTAAATAGTTAGGCCTTCAGGCTCAGCGACGATGGGAGATTTATGCCTGCCATCTCCGCAAGTGACCAGCCACGGCATTTCAGGAAGGCCTGCTCACTCTGTACTCACATATTTCAAATTAATTTCCCAGGCCTGAATCTTTTAAAATTTTCCCAAGGACCCAACTTGCGTGCCCCAAAAGACTCCCACTGTCACCAAATCCTCCCCAGTCTGAAGCATAACCTTTCAGTTCAACACGACGCTTTGCTGGTCACTTTCCCTGAAGGAATGGTGTGACCCTGACCAGCAGCAAGGGTGCCAGTCCCTATTCTACAGTGACAGGGTCTTGATTCACTTACTTTTTTTCTTTAGAATTTGAGTGTTTGTCCTCAAGGCAGAGAGTGTGTTTATTACATGTCATTGTTCCTCAGCTTTCACTGCAGGCTTAGCACAGTGCAATGTGTGCAGTGACTTTTTAAATAAGAGCTTGCTGGCCCAGTGTCCCA